TGTGTGTGTGTGTGTGTGTGTGTGTGTGTGTGTGTGTGTTTTGTCCCTCATTGCATACAAAAGTCACGCACAAACACGAGCAATGTCTGGATGATGCTGTTCATACCACGTCACCTTTCGCTGTCTTTTGTCCCTAAAATGACAAATTGTCTTCGACTGTCTCCGCAGCCATAACAAGAGAAACTCCCTGTATGTGTAAAGACGACAGAGCAGCCTGTGATTTATGGTCCTGATAACCTGCAGTCTTCCACACAGGCCTCTGCCACATCATCACTTCAAACCTTGTCGAATCGTAAAATATTTATTGGACGTTTCGAGAAGGAAAGACAAATCATTTGGAGCAACGTTAATGAGGATATGAGGAAATCTAATACACACAGAGGAAAAAAAAATCCAATCAAAGCCAGAAAAATAAAAGGCAATCCTGTCATGATGGGGTAAAAAAAAACTATACATAAGAAAATACATTAATATTTATGAGATTTAAAGAATATGATGTTGTATTGCTGTTATTTGACGTAAAAATGAGCTGTTGTAACCACGCTGCAGATCAGGCTTTAATCGGATTTTTGCCTCTTTTGGAAATTCTTTAATATTAATGGATTTTCACGGATTTCCTCCCCTTTTACATTTCTACATAATTATTCATACATTTTGAAAAAAAAAAGACAATTTTGACAATCAAAGAGGAACAAAATAAAACATGTATCCTCTACAAATAATATTTGCTTTCATTTAAAAAAAATCAGCTTTCACTTGTAAATATATGGACGATGGACAGATTGAAATTCACAATAGTATTATCATAACAAAAGGGCAGAGTTGGGAAGATGGACGGTCAGAGCGCAGGGGAAAAACTAAAGGTCTTCTGTGATGGCAAACATTAGAATAGACATGTTATTTTAGCTTTTAATATATACATAAATTTGATTTTTTTTAAGTCACTGAAAAAAATTAAAACACCACCGAGCAAATATTCAGCTTAAACATCTCAGTTCAAACAGAGCACATGAATGGAATCCTTTCATTAAAACTTTGAATTAGATTTTTGCATTTTATTTTGATGATTTTGGATGAATATAAAGCCTAAACATTATAATTATTATTTAACCATTTTTTTTCCTATTTCAGCTTCAACTTTTATTATACCAACAGTAATTAACCAAACAAAAACACATTTATGAATAATTTATAGTGGGTTTATTTAAACCTCAAAAATCCTTATCTGAAGCAAAAAATTCAAAAGTCGGAATAATAAGCTAAAATCGGTCCTGCGGACCCTTTGGAGTGTTTGTACTCCTCTGAGTCTCAGTCGCATTTTGTTCAAGATGTCTGACATGTTTTTATTTTTTCTTCATAAAAGGAGGAAATTATTAAGTTTATTTCTGGGATTGATTTATTTCGACTTTAACCGTAGTATTTTGATATGTATTTTAATAAACAAAGATTAAGACATCTTTTAGGCTTTGTCGTGCAATTTTCCGGAAAATTCGATTTTTTTTTGTTTTCCTAAAAAGCGCTTCTCATTCTCCATTTAACATCGGCAGTAAAATCTACTTTTTAAATAATATTGTTCTATTTTTCTCCTCTCTCTCTCTCTCTCTCTCTCTCTCTCTCTCTCTCTCTCTCNGTCCAGGATCAGAGGAGCGGTCCAGGATCAGAGGAGCGGGCCGGGTGTCGGCGCGGCGGGTCCACGGCGGTGCGGCGTACAGCTGCTGCTCACCGCGCTACGCTGCATGTTACGCACATCTCCTCCTGCTGCTGAGGCACAGACACACACTGCCGACCGAGTCGCCTCTCCTCCCTCTCTTCTCTCTCTCTCTTTTCTCTCTCTCTCTCTCTCTCTCTCTCTCTCTCTCTCTCTCTCTCTCTCGGAATCCTATTGATCCAAACGGGCTAATTAGCGGTGTCTGCGCAATTACGCACATGCGCACTGAGCGTAATCTCAGCCATTTTTCGAAGGAAACTAATTAGCAGGAATAAAGAGCCAAGTGTTTTTCCTCCCACAGTGATCAGAACTCATTCTACCTCTGGAGCTCGCGCAGACCCCTCCGTTCCCCCCCTCCACCCACCCCCACCTCCTGTTTACTACAGCCTATATGTAGCTTTAATTACACAGTTGTTTGGTAACAACTTGGACCCCGCTGCTCCCTCTCTTCCTCCCCCCCTCGCGCTCTCTTTTTTTTCTCCTCTCCCCTTCCTCCTTCCCTTTCCTCTTCTTGGCTCGGTTTAAAGAAAAACAAAAAGAAGAAGGAATCATTCATAAGGAATGAGTGGAGACTCCACGCGATTGTTTTCCGGACTGGCGGAGGTTTCGGCGCGCGGAGCTTTGTGCCAGAGTCGCTGCAGAAATGTAAGTGTGCCGTTTGTTTACCAGGTTACTCGGGGAGCCGCTGGAAGGGAAGCGAGCCGGCGCTGGGGAGGAGGAGGAGGAGAAGGAAGGAGGGAATGGTGGTGGGGGTGTTCGGTTAACGCAGTTTGTGAAATCATAGCGAATTAAAGCTGTTTTTGTTGTTGTTGTTGTTAACGCGGCTGTGCGTTGGGTCACCTGTTAGCGGCTACTGGACGCAAGCTTTCCGGTTTAGCTGAGTCGGAAAGTGTTCCGGTGGGGTTGGATAGACTGTAAACAAAAGCAGAAGTGGGCTGGTGGTCGTTCAGCGGCTTGACAAACACACAGGGACGGGCAATGAACTACTCATGCTGGTACTTGGCCAGGGTTTTTTTTCGCAAAGCTTCCGCTCCCGTAGTCCTGGAAAAAATGCAAGAGTACTGTTACCTTAAGACTGGAGGAGGTTCCATAAGATCCACTGTGTCCTCAGGAAAAGCAGCTGCTATAAAAAAAAAAGAGAGAAAAGAAAAAAGTGTTTGTCCTTTTCCTGCTTTGTGTCCAAGATAATAACAAACAAAAGGTGTTTTCCTAAAGTAAAGCCACACAACTCTACTGTCTGCTTCTCATCCCCCCTCACACCCCTGCCTCTCCTTTCTGTGTTACACACACACACACACACACACACACACACACACACACACACACACACTCTAGGAACCCTTTCCCCCCATTGGATTTATTTTAGAGGTAAATTTAACAAACATGTCGTGCAATAATAAGAACAGCTGTGAAACAAGCCTGTAATAGGCCACTGCATGCTGGATTTTAGGTGTTCTGAGTGTGACTAATTGACATAATCAGAATCAGTTGCACAAAAGGATGAGCTCTCATTAACACACACATGCACACAAGTCGTTAAATGATGGTTTCCCGCACTTGTGATCGATAGAGAGCCAGGAATGCTTGTATAAATAGTTACATTGCCGATAGACCCAGGTTATTGATTGCAGTGTAAATGAAAATCTTTATCAGATTAGAGGCCTTTCTCAGCTGCTGGCAGCCCGGCTCAGCCCCTCGGCACTCTCTGGCAGGACAGTGGACAGCTGCAGTGAGCAAGGGTCTGTGGCCTGTGACATAAACACAGTACATTAAAGCACTATCAGAGTGTCAATACGAGCCATATATCTCCAAGCTGCAGAGGGAAGGGGTGGGGGTGGCCACAGAAGGGAGGGATGGAGGTGTTTAAGGAGGAGGAAGAAAGGGGGTGGGGGGTTGGTCGAAGCAGAAGGTAAAAGGGTAGATTAAGGTCTCTCCTTGATTAAAAAAGGTCAGCAATGAGATTGTGGGACACAGACTAACTGAGATGTATTTGAGTCAAATGGCATCCACCTGTCAGTCAGGAACCTGAGCCCATTTATTTTCAAGTCTGTGATTAGACGGTTTTAATTAGTTTCACAATCTTTAAATAAAACTAACTGGTAATCATAACACCAAATGATAAAATGCCATTGCCATAAAAAAGGCACAGAGTTTTTGTACAGTGTGCATTTCTTTAAACTCACAATTATTAGACATGTTTGTTTACGAGGATAACAAATGTTCAACATTTATTAAGTGGCAAAGATTATTTGTTATAATGCTTAATAGAGCTTGTGTGCACGAGTTGCTGATTGAGAAGAAAAACATTTTCCATGCTTATCAAAGTAATACACATTTTAATGTAAGTACACTGCAATGCTGCATTTTAAAAATGACTGGTTGTCTTCCATGTAAAGACACATTTTAGAAGAGTCACATGATTTTTTTTTTTTGAGCACAAGGTTTTGTTGTAATGCTTGAAATGTGTAAAAGATTTGCTTATTGCAGTTGCTGATCCAACGTCTCTTTACTGATGCACTGTTCATAATGTAGAGAAAGCTATACTGGCTTTAAAAAATGTTCGCCTATCTTCTTTTATCTAAGTGTGGCAATTTAGCAGAAGCCCTTTAGCTTAGAAACATTCAGTTCTTTATTTAATCCGATCCCCAGAGGAATATTACAGACCTCCTGCGTAGCCTTTACCCGCATTCCTCTACCCAGTTTAGCGCTCATGCTATTGATTTTCACATTAAGGGCTAACCCTAACCCCTGGGTAACCAGCCTCTGGATTGCTAACTGTGAAGACTGTATTGAACGGATGCTGTCCAAAGACTTTAATCAATGTCTTTACTATTATGAAATGTTATTTACATGACTCATGTATCACTATCTTCTTTTTCTCCTCTCTTCTGTCTGTCCTCTCTTTCTCTGTATCTTAAACACACAGGTGGGCTGGTAATGTGTGGCAGCTGTAGCCTCTGGTATGGACACCGGTGATGGAGGAGGAGGGGATGGAGGGGGAGGAGAGGAGAGAGATGCTGACCTCAGTCCCCAGGCTCTATCTTTTCCTCTCCTGACCCTGGCGGTCATTCCTGAACAGGGGTCATCCTCTCGTACCTCGGTTATGGTCCCTGCCAAAGAGCCCCCGACCCTGTCTCGGCAAGGGGAGGTGGGCGCAGAGGGGTCCCAGGCTAGAGAGGGAGGTGAGCATAAAGGAGGAGGTCGACATACACAGGAAAACGCAGCCCAACTAAAGCATGGGGCGACAGAGGACTTTGCAGAGGGATGTCTGTCAGGGAAAAGGAAAGAAGAAGGAAAGGTGCATGCAGGTGTGGGAGAGGCTTCATGTGAAGGAGGCCTCCCGGCAGCTCTTGACAGCAGAAGTGGGGAGGAGGAGAAGGAAGAGGAGGAGGCCATCTCAAACCAAAGTCAAACCAAATCCAAATGTTCTTTATTACCTCAACAGAGCCAGTACGGCTCTTCTTCCAGCACTGCAAAGGCCAGTGGCACACTCGACAGCAAAACAGCCACCTCTCCAAAGCCCTCCCACCCTCCTTCCTCCTCTCCAAAGCCGTCTCCTTTCCCCCCCATCTCTCCAAAGCACTTCAGTTGTCCGTCCTCCTCTTCTGCCCTGCTGAGTGAAACAGAGGTAAAAGACATTAAGGGCGATCAGGGCTGGATTTCTGGGTTTCCTCAGAGCTTTAGATCCCAGCAGTCTTCTATGGCTTTTCCACTGGCAGGTATGGAGCCTGCCAGTACACCTGCTGAGGATGACGTGCTGACAGGGGTTCCTCATTCTTCCATTTCCAATGGGAAAGGTGCCAAAGCTCCAGAACCAAATGACAGCCAGCTAGAAACGGTGGTGGATGACGAGAAAGACAAAGAAGGAGAACAGAAAGAAGCTGTCCTTAAAAACCTCAACCAAGACCTCTCTCCCAACTCACTGACTAGTCACATGACCATAATGCACTCACGCAATTCCTGCAAGACTCTTAAATGCCCCAAGTGTAACTGGCACTACAAGTCTCAGCACACACTACAGGTTCACATGAAGGAGAAACATCCAGAGACGGGAGGTCAGTGTGTGTGCGGAGCCTCTGGGGGGAAGTGTGTGTGCGGTGGTGCAACACGAGGTGTGTGTGCATACTGTAGCTCGGGAAAAGCCCATCCTCGTTTGGCCCGAGGTGAAACCTACGCCTGTGGCTACAAGCCCTACCGCTGTGAGGTGTGTGACTATGCTACGTCATCAAAAGGCAACCTCAGCATACACATGCAGTCTGACAAACATCTTAACAACGTTCAAAACGGGGGACACGCAAACGGCCACATGCACACCTCTGGTGGCATCAACAACAGCAGCTCCTCCAATGGTCACGCAGCAGAGGAACAGCCATACAACAAGCTCCCGCTTTCTATTCCAGCACCCACTCCCCAGCCCACTAAGCTTGCACCACCCGTACACTCCCATCCTCACGGCAAGCGGTGGCGATGCGATGTGTGCGACTATGAGACCAGCATTGCTCGCAACCTGCGCATACACACCACCAGCGAGAAACACACACATAACATGCTACGGCTCCAGCAGGGTTACTATTTGTCACAGTGCAGGAGTCTTGCCCCACATCTTAAACACCTACAAAACACAGGTGAGTAATTTATTACATATCTTTACATAATTCTACAAGTAACGCTAAAAATGTGTAAACTTTACTGGTTTTACTCCTTTTTAGGTGCTGAGCTTTCCCTGAACATGCGGCTGACCGGTCAACAGGTTCTTGAACAGCCGATGACCCTTGGGTCAGCCCTAACTCCATCCCCCTCCCCCTCTCCATCTCCTCCTCCAGCCCCATCTCTGTCCCCAGCAGGACCCCTCTCCCAGGGTGTATTCCAATGCCTCGTCTGCTCATCTTTCTCCTCCGACAGCTTAGAGTCTGTAGAGCAGCATTTGAATGCTCCCCGCTCCTTGCCACAGTCTGAGTGGTGCTCCCTTGTAGCTGGTGGTTGTCACTGCAGACTATGTGGTTACACCACCCCACTGAGGGCTAACTTCTCCTTGCACTGCCAGACTGATAGACACCGCACCCGCTACCAGCTCGCTGCTCACCTCCAGGAGGGCGGAGACAGGGGTCAGGAAGGAGCCGCCCTCATTGCTAAGGGAAACCCCGTTCAGCTGCGATGCAACCTGTGTGACTTCGTGACCAGCAGCCCGGAGAAACTACAAGGGCATTCCCTCACTTCACAGCATGAGGCGAGCACCCGGGTTTACAGAGTAAGAAACCGTTTTCTCAAAATCCTTCAAGCAGCACATTAAATCAAATAATTATGATCAGTAATAATTAGGGATTACCATTCAGCCATAAAGGTTATTGTTTTCATTCCTATCTACCATTTTCAGTTTCTGCAGCAGTATGATGGTGAGGTTGATGGAGGTTCGTGGCTGTTCCATTGTCTTCTATGCAACCACTCCTCCTCTTCTAAACTGCAAGTACTGAAACACAGCCAAACTTCAGCCCATCAGCAGAGGGAAGGGCTGCTGCAGCTGCAACCAATGGGTGGAGAGGAGCTGGCTGCCATTTTCACCATCAGAAAAAGCTCTGGTGACATCAAAGGTGAGCATATAAACTGCGTGGGCGTATTTCATTTCATGTTCCACGTGATCACTGTCTGCAGAGAGTAGGTGGAGGATTAAGATGAAAGGAGGAAGAAAATGAGCAATGAGGGTTGCTTGGATATTGATAAAGCAAAGTGATTAGTCAATACACATCCTTGTTATAGCCCCAATCACTCCTGACAACAGCTAACTAGCACCTGCTAATCAATGGACTAGTGCAAATCCCCTAGACAAGGACTGTGGGAGGTTGAGGCTAGTCTTAGCTCTACAGATTGTTCAAGATAAAATGCTGGATTTATATTGTCTGGAGTGTGTGAAGTGTGTAACACATGAAACAAGAAGTGGAACACTTTATTTGTGAATTAAATCTATCCTTTGATGCGATTGTTTGTAAATTAAGATTTATTGCACCTAACTCGTGTGTTGTGAGTCCATATTACCTCCGCTTCACCTCTGAGAGAATCTAATGCAGAATCAATAAGTGATCAATAGCGTATGGAAGCAAGTAAGGGGAAAGAAGTGTGATTCAAATACACTAGTGCTTTTGAAGGATGTTATCTATAGTGTAATATAGACTAGAATAAGCCTGATAGTTTATTAGAATATATTGTATGAACCGCTGGGTTTGTCTGTATTCAACAGTATTTGTATTCTTTTTGTCTTGTCCTAGGAGAGCTTATTGGGGATATGGAGACTTCCAGCACTGATCCTTTGGACACGACCAAAGACACGGGTAACTTGGAGGCAAAGAAGATTTCTGAAGAAATAGGTATTGCAGCTTATAAAAATCCTACAACATACTGACACTTAACTCAAGTTACAGTAAGCGTTTGTATTACACAGTAGGCATAAATGGGTTTAAATATTTATTTACATTTTTCACTTGAAGAAAAAACAAAGGAAGAGGACAGAAAAAAGAGTGAGTCCTTGTCCTCAGTCAAGCGTCCATCCCCTGGAAGTGGGGAAATGGATAACTCCATCGCAACCAAACGTTCAAGAACACACCAGCAAAATGAGAACCAGCAGGTGAGCTGTTGAGAAACACTGTTTCAGTTTAATTGTGATCAAAAAGAAATTTATGATACAGCAAATGTAGTACTCCATTAAAACTGCCCACCAGTTCAATGCTGATACATTCTTCCTTCATTTAGACTGTCCAGTGCCCCTTGTGCCAGGTTAAGCTCCCAAACACACACCTTCGACAACATCTCACACATGTGCACAGTGTGGCACAAGACTGTGTGGACAAGCTCATCAGCGCAGTAAGTGTGTGCAACTGTGTATTTGTTGTATTAACGTTCATCGGGAAGTAAAACAAAATGAAACGGCGAAGCGATGGGGGGCAGTGAAATGTAGGGAGACAATTCCATTAAGAAGGCACCAGAGAGAAAGGCAGCGCTTTTTTAATGCATGTTTAAGTAGCTCCTTGCTATCATCTTTGATGCAGCCGTGCATTCTGTGTGTATGTGTATGCACGTCTTTTAGAGACGAATGAGAGTAGGTTTGAGTGAGTGAGTGTAGGAAAAGCCAGTCTTTCTATAATGCATGTTTAAGTAGCCCTCTATTACCAGAAGTGCAGTCAAGCTAAAAAGGGGCCCCTATGCTTTTTACTGTGTCTCTCCAACTAACAATGACCGGTCATCTATCCACATCACCATCCTCCATCTCCCTGGCCTGTATGCTAAGTGGCCTTTGTCTCTTGCTCTCTTCCCTCCACTTCACTGACTGCTTTTCACCCTTTCTCCCCTTTGCCCCCCCCCCTCCCCATCCACCCCCCAGCTGCTCCTATCACTCCTTCTGCAATTTCTGTCCTGCCCCTTTCCCTCGGTCTCACCCAAGCTCTCTCTCATTTTCTTAACCCCTCCCTTTGCTCTCTGTCTTTCTCCATACCAGTTTTTTTGTTCATTGCCCCATACTTCCTCCCTCTGCCTGGTCTATCTCTTTTTCATATTCTGCACCCTTTAGCCCCCGTCCTCCCTCCTTCCACTCATTCCCCTCCCTCACTCTCTCTGATAGTAATTGAGGTTCATTAATTCAGACTGAGGTGATGATGGCCATTATGTATCTTGCTTTCCAATTACGCTCTCTAGATTAAGTCTGACCTTCAGTTTTCTCTGCAGTGTGTGTGTGTGTGGTTGTTCTTCTTTTTTTGCTGCTATGAAGCTGTTACGCAGCGAAGACTCTTGTCATGTAAATCTCATCTTTGGCTCTCTGTCCTTTCCTCAGGGTGGCTAGTTGTTTGCATAGATATACTATTTACTCTCATTGCTCGAAGCGGCGGGAATGAAGGTTTTCTATATGAAGATTTATTTTAAATAAATTAATTATTCAGCTCAGTAAAGTTTTATTAAACCCTTGAGGCATGTTGGAGGGTGCTGGAAGTGAAGGGCAGATTCACACATGTATTCTTATTAAGAGACAGATGTGCCTTGGTGTTTGCACTGCTGTACAGGCAGGTGCAAACTATAACAATACACTTTAATCTTTTAAAATACCAATAATGGAAGCCCGGGCACTCTGTCTTTTGCATGCTTTTCACCGTAGAATTAAAAATCTTTTATTCATGATGCTGCATAAAGGAAGCCCAGTAATATCAGATATTTCTTTTATTTTGAGCTTGTAAGAGAACACCGGGCAAGAATGAAAATCAAGAACGGTGACAACCGACTGTACTTTCTTTCTTCCAGGTTACACCTTCTGTGGAACAACCCCAGCTTCTGCCGGAGTTACAACTACAGACAGATTTGCTTCCTGATGATATTCAGAAAAAGAAAACAACAAAGAATAACAATGCAAACACTTCCCATTCTGCAGATTCAACTGTCTCGATTGATTCACAGAAAAATAAAGGTTGGTAAAAAAAATGGGATAAAATAAACTAATAATTACTTTGCTTACTAAGGAAGCGAAATGTCTAAGTTTCAAAAACTGTCCTGTTGACTTGTGGTGAAGATATTTAAATTTTACAATTACCATTTTTGTGCATCTTGCAGGTATCTTAGGGGAGAACACTGAGGCAGACATAGCCGCACCCAAAGATGTCACAGCACTTCTCACCCCACCCCTCGAAGACAACACCATTCACCCCTCCAATGGCACACTGGCTCCTCAGTCCCCGGCTCAGACGCCCCCCTCTTCTCCGCCCGGCTCCCCACCCGGCGACCCCCCTCCCCTTTCTGATCGTCATGGTTACCGGTTTCGTTGCAGCAGGTGCAGCTTGGCATTCCCCACTCAGGAGAAGCTCCAGTTGCACTGGCAGTACCATGCCATGAGGGCGGCGACAGAGTGTCCCCTTTGTTCTAGACAATGCCGCAGTCAGGAGGCCCTGCAGAGACACATGCAGAGCACGCACTCACAGCAGGACAACGCACAGGGACAGAATACACCCATGCCATCTCAAACTGTGCAATACACAGAGCATAACACGAGTTCAGTTCAGCAAGATTTTAGTTTATCACCTCAAGTGGGTCAAGAGGCAGGAGAGGGTGATGATGACGAGATAGATGAAGAAGCGTCAGACATGGAGGAGAAGGAGGAACAAAAAGAGGTTAAAATGAAAGAAAGGGAAGCTGTTCCGGAAGTTGAAGAGGATTTAACCGAGCTTGAGAAGGGGCCACATGAAGAGACTGTAGCAGAACCTAGTTCAAGCACCGTTGTCAAAAAGAGCTCTAACCCTACGATGGACCGCTACCTGGATCCATCCAGACCTTATAAATGCACCATATGCTCCGAATCCTTTACGCAAAAAACAATTCTTCTAGTTCATTATAATTCTGTGTCCCATCTCCACCGGGCCCGACGAGCCATGCAAGACTCCGGGGGAAGTTCTGCAGCCCCAGAGGCGCCACGTGGACCAGATCCTAGACCTTATCGCTGTAGATTATGTGGAGTGGGTTACAGCCAGAGTTCTACTCTAGACATACACCTTCGCTCTGTTCTTCATCAGACTAGAGCTCGTGCTGCCCAGAACTCAGCTCAGCAGACCCTTGCGTCAACTTCAGCTGTACCAGCGTCCGTTCCCACTTCTGCTGCTCAGACTGCCACAGCCAGGGATGAAACATCCACGAATTTGCCTGTTTCTAAGAAACTAGTTGGAGTAAGCTGTTCTGCCTCTTCATTAGTAGGCTCTGGCTTATTAGCTGAGACTCAGCCATCCTTCTCTGACCCAACAGATTCCCAACAGGCAAAAAAGAGAGTGGCAGAACTTCTAGCATCCAGAAGTCAGCTAATGCTAATACAGCAACAGCAATTAGCCCAGGCACAGGTGCAAGCTCAACTGCAACAGCAAACAGCACTGCTTCAGTCCCAGGTAATTCAGCACCATCACTTAGGACCGGAGAATCTTCTTAAACAGCATTTCTCACTGGCGCCAGATAACTTGCTTTCTCTTCAACAGCAACTTCTTCTGCCATTTTACTTGTCAGGAGATGTAAAGCTCAATTCAGAGTTAACTATAAAAGGCTCAGAACTTGGTCACTTATTGTCTTTTAACCCAATTCCAAAGGAACAGGTGAAGGCAGAGGCTAAAGCAGAGACACTTTCAGATGAAAAAGAAACCCAGAAACAAAATTCTAATTTACTTGTTACCCAACAAAGCGATCATTCACAAAGCGAAGACAAAGTTGTAGTTTGCAGTGGATCCTCCAACCAGCATATTGAAAAAGAGCATTGTGCTTTTAGTCCCGAGGAGCAACAAGAAAATGTAAACATTAGTACAGAAAAAGACAAAAGTACAAAAAAGGATGAAGTTTCTTCTTCATTTCGTCTTCTTGGATTACAGTGTCCTCCTCCCAGAGTGCCATATGCTGCTGCAAATGGAGAGCCTCTCAGAGCTCTGCTGCAGAGTTATGGCTATGAATTGGCTCTGCAATATATTCAAAGTAGACACAGACACCAGCAGCAGGTAGCTACTCCAATAATTCCATCTGCCTTTTTGTGTAAGACAGAAGTGCTCTCAGAAAAAGAAAGAGATGAAATTTGTCAATTACAGAAAGAAATGTTAGAAGATTGTAACAATAATAAAAAAGTAGAAGGCAATGGAAACATAAAAGAGAAAGAAGATACTGAACATGAGGCATCAGGAAACAAAAAGAAAAAATGCTGTGAGACAGGACAGAGGTGTGGAGACTGTGGCAAGTTTTTCTCAGATGCTTTGATTTTAAAAAGCCACCAGGAGTACATTCACAGAGTGCTGTTTCCCACTGCTGCACTGGAAAAGTTTTCCAAGGAATACAGACTGCAGTATGATCAAATGTACCCTATTACTGAGTCTAAATCTGGAGAGAACTCAAGTGTTTCCAACCAAGCTTCCAATGTAGCTCTAATCCCAGGCACACTCACAGAGCCAGAAGCCACATCAGAGTCAGTTAAGCCTCAGGTGAAAAATCTTGAATCCTCACCTATACTGTCAGTATCAGATCCCACAAATAAAGCAAATGATACAACTAAAGACCTGCAAACAGCTGCCTCAGTGGTTTCTTCTCCTTCTTCCCCTTCTCAACCACAAGAACCTCAACAACAAGAGTCACCTATCCCAGGCACATCTGCTACTTCTCAAACTACAACTCCTATACCTCTATCCTTACCTAAAATACCTATGCTCCCTTTGTCTTTGCCTCAGCTTCCCTTACCCCCGCTAACCATACCGAAGCTTCCACTTCCACCAATTCCTTTTCCCATGGAGTTGCCACTTCTCTCTCCAGTTGTGATGCAGTCAATGGCTCTTCAGACTCAGCCTTGGCTAGATTCAAGTTTGAACCCTGAGCTGGCAAAACTCTACCAGTCTCAGCTTAACCCAGCACTACTTGGACAACAGTCACAGCTTAGTCCAGCTTTGCTTGCTCAGCAACCACAGCCCAGCCCAGTTTTGTCAGGTCATCAACCACATCTCAATCCTGCTTTGCTGAGTCAACCATCCCAACCCATGCAAACAGGACAGCAAGGTCAAATCAGCCCAACCACACCTGAACAACAGCAAAGTAAAAGAACTCGAACAAGAATCTCTGAAGAGCAGCTGTCTGTTCTAAAAAAACACTTTGATATAAATAGTCTTCCGAGCGATGAAGAGATCACCAAGATGTCTGCTATGTCTGGGCTGCCTCAGAAAGTAATTAAACACTGGTTTCGCAACACGCTATTTAAAGAGCGCCAACGTGACAAGGATTCTCCTTACAATTTTAATAATCCCCCAACCACAGCCCTGGATGAGTCCAGGGATGATGTAACAAAAAAACAGTGTTTGTCACTTTCCCCCTGTTCACTGTCTCCAGGCCTGTCTGCCAACACCTCCTCACAACCACAGCCAACAGGGGAGCACCACAGGGGCAGACGATCTTCTCGAACCCGTTTCACAGAGCAACAGCTTGAGACTCTGCAGGGGGTTTTTGAGGCCACGCCATACCCCAGAGAGGAAGAATATGACAGGTTGTCTGCTCTGTTGTCTCTTCCTAATAGAGTCATTGTTGTATGGTTCCAAAATGCCAGACAGAGAGCCCGCAAAAATCAAGACAGGGGTGCAGAGGACGGATCAGAGGGGAAGAACCAACCTGACAACATCGCCAGACAGAAAAATGGCTCTTATAAAACTGATAATGATAATCAAGATAACAGCTTTGAGGATGAAGGACAAGGTGACTCTCAGAATGAAAACTCAATGGATTTGACTTATGAGTATTACACTCACCCTGATTCACCTGCCCTTGATTCTTCCACCTATTACTCAGAAAATGAGCTTCTAACAACCAAAAGTGAACAAACATCTACTGCGAGGAAACAGGAAGCAATAATAACCTCTCATCAGGCTACTGTGAGTCCAGCTACTGCCCATACTCAAAGCAAAAATTTAGATGAAGACATCCATCAGAAAGAAAATGCTCAGCCTATTAAAACAGGACCTGGTTTGCAACCTGAAAGTCCTCCAGAAACACTTCAAACCCTTGCTGCTTCCTCATCACAAAAAACAACATCCCCCATATTGTCTGTGTCTCATTCAGATCAAGAAAATTTACACAGTCTAGACTGTGAACCTTGTGAAAAGGTTGCTGATCCATTACCAAGCTCACCCTCTCCTCCAGAGTTGGAAACAGTGCACTCTGGGATGCCCGATGCTTCTGCTTGCCTCTCCAATGAAACCCAGCAACAGCTCAAAGTCCAGGCTCAGTTCCAGTGTAGTCTCTGCCCAGCATCCCTGCCATCATTCCAGCTATGGCAGGAACATCAAACCAGACACCTTCTAGCTGCTCAGTCCCAGGTACAACTCTTTCATTCGGGATTCACAGATCGACCCTTGCCTTACATGATGCTTCATCCGAACCCCACATTAATGGCCAGCCAACTGCTTTCAGGGGCTATGTCTCAGATTCCCCCTAATCCCACACATCCCATGATTTCACACTTGACCAGCATGCAAATGAAAAGCACATTCTCAGATCACTCAAACAGCACTCTTAACAACTCTCTAACACCCATGAAACAGAGTACAAAACATGCACCAGAGACTAGTTTTGAAGGCCAAAGGAGCAACAGGGAGGTTGAAGAGGAGCATAGAAGGGATAAACGTCAAAGAACTACCATCACCCCCGAACAGCTCGAAGTGTTGTACCAGCGCTATAGTTTGGATTCTAATCCCACCAGAGGAGTTCTTGAAAGCATTGCACGAGATGTGGGCCTCACAAGACGTGTGGTTCAGGTAATGTTATGTCAAGATAGTAAACTCTTTTGATTCAACTGTTATGTGTAAATTAAACAAAACATCTTTCTCTCATAGGTATGGTTCCAGAATACACGAGCAAGAGAGCGAAAAGGACAGTTTCGGTCAGTAGGACCAGGAACCAGTTTCACCTTGGGCTTGAATCACCTCCGCTGCCCATTCTGCAGGGCGCTGTTCAAAGTAAAGAGTGCACTTGATGCCCATATAAGATCACGGCACTGGGCAGAGGCTGAAAGAGCAGGCTACAACCTATCAGTTGTTAATGGATCCAATGGACAAAACATGATGATGACACCATCTGTTATGGACCGGCCAGGTCCATCCATCTCCTCTAACTCGATCTCAAACCTTGGCTATGACCTCACCAACAAAGAATTAACTGTGAAGCCTCCAGTAACTTACTTGTCTTCATCAACAAGTTTAAAGAATTCAGAAGATGATTATGAATATGAGGAAGAAGACGAGGACTACTCATACGAGGAGAGTTCCAGTATTGCTGACCATGGATCACCTAGTCCTGAAGTATCTGGGGATCAAAGCTCAGATTGGAATGAGTCACAAACACAGCAGCAGCAGCATCACCACCAACAGCAGCGTCAAAGGACACAGATGAGCCACTTCCAGGTACTCCAGCTCAAAGACTTCTACAGGAGCCACCGCACACCCAACCGCCTTGAGTGTGAGACACTGGGCCAGGAGTTGGGACTGCCTTCCCGTGTGGTACAGGTAATTGCCAGAAACATTCAATCCATTTTTTAAGGTTAATAGTTTGGCTTTTTTAAAAGTAGTAGATGCTATTTAGTAATGTAAGTACTTGTTACAGGTGTGGTTCCAGAATGCCAGAGCTAAAGAGAAGAGGGCCAGGAGTCTGACCACCGACTCTGCAGAAAGGGAGCAGGCTGATCTGTCAGCAGGCGCAGTGGAGAGAGACAGAGCTTAGAAAGGCAGACTGCTTCCTTCAAATACACTCCAACCAAAATTCTTCCTCCAACTGTTGTCCATGCCCACACATACCCTGCCTACTTGCTGCCAAACCAATAACCTGAACACCCCAAAGATGCAGAGCCAGAGTGGCCCAAAGAGAAACTCTCTCAACTATTAAGGGAGAGCTGAAACCAAGTTCTCATTAGCACAGCTTTCCTCTTTTCATAATGTTCTTAAACTCTTTTACGGTCTGTCCTTTCTTGTTGAAACAAGCTCCTCTCCCTATTCCTTCAAACACTTTAATAAACCAAACACCAACTTGATAAAAAAAAACATGCCACAGAGGCCAAAGAGCATTCTCCAAGTATGTGACCTCACTGCCCAGCTAGACCTGCAGTCTACCTCTCAAGTCTGCATGACAGACTTACAGTGGGCCCTCCACCAGACAGTGCTAGATAACTAGCTGTGTAGCATGTAGTCCTAGTCTGTACAAGGCTGGAAAATAAACTTTCAAAGAGATTTTAGTGTAAATAGAAAACTCCAAAAAAAAAAAACTTGAAGAAAAAACAAAGCAGTTAAGAATGGGAGAAGATGAAGAAAAAAAACTGAATAATATCCTTGAAATACATAAGGGTATTTGCATAGAGCTTTTGTAAAGACTGTCTCAGATTCCAAAGCTCATAACCAAAATTTTACATGTCTGTTGATTTAGTTTGAACGTGTTTGTTTTCAACGACAAACTGCAGAGCGGACGTCTGTATGGTGAAGGGGTGAGATTTACAGCTGAGTACCAATAGACTGTTGTGGTGCTAGAAGGCTGCTTCGCCCCCCCAAAAGCCAATGATGAGTCTTCTGTTGTACATGTACTCCTTGTATGTTCATTTAGTAAAAAAAAACAGCCCAAATAGCACAGTACATAAAAGGCCAGTTTGTCCTGAATGGGGTAAACTATTTTTATAGCACTCAACCATTATACTGTATATGGAAACTCTAACCAAACTCAAATTTACATTGTGTGTGTTTAGTAATAGTTTATTATAAATCTTATGGATCGACATAAACTGTCTTGCTTCAATATAGTAGTGTCATGATATTGAAAAGATTATGACAGCTTTCCTATGTTCAGGCAAGATGACTTACTGCCTTTCCATTCTATTTGAATATACCAATGGCTTACCAATGTATGTGAGTAATGTAAAAGCTTTTTATGCTCAGATCAATGTGGCTCCATTTCAGATGTGATCAAACCACTACACTTGTCTGTTTTTTAAACAAGCGAGGCCTAGTTAAAAACTGAACTAAGCTTTACATAAAACCTACACAAAATTCTGTATTTGAAAGATCTGAGCTTTTCACATTTGAGTGATTGATTGTTACAAAAAAATTAAAACTAAAGTGTTTAATAGTGTGAGGGGTAAATGTACAGTATTTAGCTTTTGTATGGTTGACTCGAGACTTCATTGGATGTTTGACACATAGCTCTTTTCTTCACATATACTGAGCTTCTCAGCAAAGTTGAAGAAAACTTTGGATGTCATCAATGTTATTTTTGTACACTTAATTTATTGTCCCTCCTCCCTTGTCTTATTTTCACTTTTTCTCTTTACAATTCTTTCTCTGTTCATTTATTACCAGTTCTTATTCTACCTGTAATAATAATAATATAACAATAATAGCTAAACAATAATTAATGCTTTAAGACAAAAATCCAAAGACGTGATAATACTTTAACCATATGACTTACAAAAATAAGCGCTACTGTTTACTTGATGATGTGATACTGTTTTTAAAGAAGGAAGGAGTCCCTGTATCTAAGCTACTGTTTTCTGCCTCTCATAAGCACACTGGAGACTGTAACCAAAACCCCAAACTAGAGCCATGGCAGTCTGTAATATAGCGGTTGAAGAGTTTTACTTCTCTTGAAAAAAAAGTTTCAGTTTATTTTTCTTTTATACCATAGTGTTAAACTTCAAGCCCTTAAGGATGTCCAGTTTGCTGCTAATGTACTGTAGTTTCTAATGATATTGTAGAAAGATGCATGCTCTGATCGCTTTACCACTAGGCTTTAATGACTACAAACTGTAATGATACCTGTGATGCTGTTGATGAACTGCTCCTCTGTTATTCTGTTCGAAAACTAATGGATATGTGGGGCTCAATTCCAACAAGTTTGTTTTTCAGTATCCTATAATACACCTTTACTCAGAAGAAAGAAATGTTTTGAAGCTTCCAGATTTTAGAGAGCATTATTTTGGGATTAATTTTGCAAATTCACGTGAAGATACTGCATAGATATTTGAAGGAGTTAAGCCCCAAACCTTCCACTGGTATGGTGTCCATCTGTGTTGCAGTGTCTCTAGTCAGGAATCCAGCTAAAACAACTTTGCTGACTCTTACTGACATCACAGCCAAGCTTCCAAAGGATGTGGACTGACTAACTCTGTCACGTTTTGTTCTTTAACCAACCAATGTTTACGACAATACCAATGAGCTTTCTTCTGTACAGAAATGTGCATTCCAAATACCACAAAGGCAGTTTCTGTTTTCTACACTGATAATTTCAAAGTTAATTTCTCTCTTGATCTTAGTGACTGTAAGATGTACATATTGGAGTCCTTTTATGGTGAAAAGACTCTCTTATCCTTACTGTAGGTAAAACGGTTCTTTTAAAATTTTTTTTCTGGATATGTTGTTGCCATAGTGATGACCAAAAAGATAATTGTGATGTGCACCTGTCCTTATGTCCTGCTCCAGTGGTTTAGTGTGTCTCTATACTCTTCCTATCCCAGATTTTCCCTGTCGTTATGTGTTCCTCCTCCTTTCCCTCCCCAAATTCCACTGAGCTAAATAAAGTCTGCTTTGGTGCACGCTCTGGTGTCATCCCTTGGGTTTAACTTTTTTTTTAAGTCATTTTTATCAGTGTTGTGCAATGCAAAAGTGTCTGCCTCTTATATGACTTTCATATTACAAGTTGTAGGTTTGTTAGTCGAGTACGTCTGGCTGGAAAGCATTTGGTGTGCAGTTGTGTGTGTGTGTGTGTGTCTAACACAACTGAGCGTGGAAGGCATTGGGTGAATAGAGCCATGACCTCTGGGGTCACTTCATTAATTACATCTGTGACATTCAGCCAGATGAGTTTCCTTTGTGACTAAATGATATGATGAATATTAACGACCTCGGATGAATTACATTGCTGCTCCTGCTGCTGCTGATGATAATGTGTTTTACGACTCAGAGAGAGAGAGAGAGAGAGAGAGAGAGAAAGAGAGAGAGAGACTCTGCCCATCTCTGCCTCTGAGAGAGAGAGAGAGAGAGAGAGAGAGAAAGAGAGAGAGAGAGAGAGAGAGAGAGAGAGGAGGAAAATTGCACACTACAGCACATTTAAGACACACTGATATTCATATGCAACATTTCAAAGACTACAGCTTAGATTGGAAGAGAATATTTTATTACTTTATATTCCAATGGTCGATGGGGCAACTTCATACAAAGGAATTTCTTAAAAGAACACTGGAATGTGTTGATCTTTCTGAGCCACAAACACAAACTGGGATCTGCTTCTTGTTTTCTTCCAGCGAGTCGTTCATTTAACCACTTCACAGAAATGCGACACTGGAAAATGTTACCATGAACCTGTTATAATCTGATTTTGGTTGCAGGGAGAAAGCAAACAGATACATGTGGAGAACAATAGCAAAGTGAACACACAAGAGGGCTTGAGATAGCTCCGTATCTGATGATAGCCATCTTAGAAAGTCATCGTGATAAAGTGATCCCCCACCATTTCTCCTTCTCCCTGTCCTCCTCTCTTAATCAAATGAGTACTGTGCAGCTGGTGGGGTTGCGGCAAAAAGGGGTACGAGTGTGTGTGTGCGTGAAGCGTAGGTGGATGGGTGGGGGGGCTTTGAGGGATGGCGTGAAATTATTGCCTGCTGGTGTATATGTGTCGCTGGGGGTAGCAGAGTAGGGGGTTGGGCTGAGGCTGGGGAAGGGGGGGGGGGTGTAATGTCATTGCCTGCTGGTGTATCTGTAGTGGGGGCTCATTTAGATTTAGATTGGTTATGTGAGGAGAGAGCTTGAAAGGCCAGCTCATGTTTATGCATGAATCCCAAAGCATGCTGCCGCGGTGGAGCCCCAAGTTTAAAGAGACAGGGCTGAAAAGCATTCAGATGCACCTCTGCTTCTGCGTTTTTATCTGAAGCCACACTGTGCTATCGAATATATTTTAATTGGTGTATAGTTGTTTGCGGCAATATTTGTTATCGTTCAGTGTCTTTTTGTACACAAATAGATTAGGGTTTTGTCTAAACCAGTAGCCACTGATTCCTTTTAACTTCTAAAAAAAATTAAAATTGCAGTGTTAAAAATGTGGGCTTCACCACCCACTGCTTGACAAGGTGCAAGCGATTGGTCTGGCGTCTCCTACAGCTGATGCATAACTTCCCACGTTACACTCACTCATACCCCAATAGTAATCAGTAAATGTCTTTGAAGAAGAGTTTGTTCAGCACTTCATCAGGTATAAAGTGGTTTTTATTTGGAAATGTGGTCCCTATCCATCTTTTAAATGACTTTTTAATGGTCGTCACACCGTCCTAATCAATCATGTGGTAGAGCTATAGCCTGCGAGCGCAAATACACTATTTATAATTCCTACACTCTGCTGCAAAAGTGACACTGTGCCTTTTTAAAACAGAAGTATCTGTTTCTGTAATTTTCTGGCGACATTACAGAAGTCTTTAACAATTCATGGCGTTCTGGTAATGAGGTAATGCATATCGTACTGGTTCGTTCCTGAAATGGTGGACAGGAAAACTTACCATTTATTGTTGAGGGCGGCCCTCACTTTGTGACCCTTCTCCATCCCCCCAACCACACTGCCCACCCACCCCTCTCCTCACCCCACTGGCGGCCACAGTACTTTACATCTATAATGAGATACAAATACGCATCAGCAGGAGAGTGTCTACGCCACGCGTCACTGTGTGAATATTACTCACACTTATTAGCTGGATTATGTTAATCTTTACACTCTCTGCTCACACACAACAGACTCTCTGTGATATGGGGGTGGTCACGGCAGTAAGCGTGTACTGCTGTGTGTATGCATATACGTGTGCGGGACTGTATGTGTGTGAGAGTGATTGCCATGTTGTCAAACTTATCTGCATGTGAAAGGGAGGTCTAATTATATCACTTATGCAAAAGAGGAATGCACACAGGCTTCTGCATACAGTACAAGCCCAACATGGGCATCTTGGAGCTTAGGCCAAAAAGATGGAGCAGGATAGTCTCTTATTGACATGACATCACCACCTGTTGGAGATCAGTTTTGACATAATACACAAAAGTTACAGTGTCAATTTGATAAACACCTTTAAATATACCAGAAAAATCTTGCATTGGTCAAATTTACAGAGGAATAAAACATGTTGTTATTGACTGTTATTGGAAACTGTCCAACTACACATCCACAGATTAGTCTTTTTTTTCAGACCGATACATTGATAGTATCCCTCTTGGCATGATTGATTGAGCCTGACACATTTTAATTACGTCCAAATTAAATGAATCGGCTGGCAGACTATAAAACATTGCAGTTTAATAACGAGTCCCTCCATTTTCCCTTCTTTTTTTCTCTTCCCTTCCTTCTTCCAATCCCATTTTGGCGGCCCACACCAAATAACCTCTCTCCGTTTAATGATATGCAAATGAATTTTCATGAACCCCATGATCCTGTGCGATGATTAAACTGAGATGACATTAGCTGCCACGCTGCTGCCACTGTCAGTGTTTCTGTCTGCCTCCTTTTCTTTTCCCCCCATCTCTACTATCTTTCCTCCGTATCCACGACAACAGCCAACTGGTGATATTAAGGGGTTCATCGTCACGATCCCTTCGAGAATTTTCTTTGTAAGTGATGACATTCTGACTATCCAGTGTTATTTCAGAGAAGTTTTCCCCCGTGGAAGCAGACACAGTGCGAGATGTTGGCTCTCACAAGACGTGCTGTTGTAACACCCATGTTAGAACCATATACAATTATGCAGTAGCACCATAAAGCACATTTTTGGAAGCCTTCCACATCTCATTTTCCACTTTCAACTCTCCCCTCCCACCGTTCCGTTTTGGTCCACATCCAGCTCCACCTCCGCTGTCGTTTATTGTACTCCATTTGCATAATGAAGCTCCGGCTTAATTAAGATCCCACTGGAGTCTGGAGCCAAGGATGAAGGAAAGAAGGACGCGTGGAAAAGGGGGAGGGCATCAAGCAGTCCTTGGCTTATCCGCACGTGTCCAAATAGGAGGCACAATTTAAGGGGGGGTAGGAAAGCGTTGACGAGCGATTAAATCACTAATTATGATCGGCTGTTAGAATTAGTGTGTGGCTGTTAATTAGCTGCAGATGAGATGCCCAGACAGTTGCCCGCCCCTGATGACTCGAGCACCGTCCCTGAATGGGCAATGGAGAAACACAGCTTGACACCCAGGAGATGATGCCAACACAGCCCTCCCTTTAACACATACAGCAAGCAGTCTGAGGGGATTTCCCTTTAAGAACATCCCAGGTGTGCACGTGCAGGGAAGAGGCTCTTCATCATCTCTAGCCTCCCACTCCCACTGTTCTTCGTTAAGCACAAAATTCCCCCTTTTTCCCGCTCTTCATCCTTTACTTGATTTGCTCATTTTTTCTCTTTGAATTCTCTACTCTCCACACTAAAAATGGTACAATCCCTTTTCATTCTTTGTGATGGTCAAAAACTTCCTTTCTGAGCAGCAGTTGGCACAGAGCAGAGTTGGCATCACGGAAATAGTTTCCAGCCTAGACACCCACAACAGCTGTAGTTGTAGCTTCTTGATGTAGCATTTCCCTGCTATTTTGGGCAACCTACTGACTGTCGTTTTAAACAGATTTTGACGGCGCTTTCAAATGTCTCGCAGTTTGCGTTTGGCATGATGCCATCTCTGTTTCCAGCCTCTCCCTTGAGGGGATGTCTTCACCAAAACATTTGAGGCATCTGAAATGTTCCGCTCACCGTACGGATGTTTCCATTTACACGTGTGCGTATCATTGTTGCTTTGGCAGAGTGCCATCTTTGTCCCCGTGCCATGCTGCCCGCCGACAGATGCCATCGCAATCACTGGCAGTCGCTGCCAGGGCACTTCTTCTTGGCTTTGTCCGAGCAAACAAACGATGATTAGAAGGAAATCCTCTGAGGTGAGTCCTTTTGTCTTTGACTAAAACAATTCTCTGCCATCGGCTTTGATCGCTTCGAGCGTGCCATGAATACAAGGTGGCACGCTGCCCGCTGGCTGGCACTCTGTAGCTGGCAGGTGGAGGCAGCGAAAAGTCGAAGAGATCATTGCATTTTCTGAATCCCTTGTTTGGCAAATGGCCGATGGTCATCATTGTCAGTTTAAAAGCATCGTCCAGTTCCATCATCAACATCCTTATCTGCCTTTTTCAATGATCTACAAGTGACTCATCTTCTACGAACTGGTAACTTTCTTATAAGCTCCACTGTACTCTGGTCTTCTCGTGCCTTCCTTTTTCTCAGCCCGGTCTTTTGTTCGCGATGCCCCATAAAGCCTGTGCCAAGGTGGCACCATAGTAGCAGTATGGAAGCCTGTTTCGCTTCCTCTTTCACTTTTATTCTCCTCGCCCCTTCGCCTGTGCCCATGCCCGCCCCTGCTTAAGTCCTGACTGGATGGCACCGTGCCAACCTGCCACCACCATCGCTCTCATTTGTAGCTCATTCTTCCATTGCCCTTCCCCCTGTCTCCACATTTCCATCCCTCTTTCCTCCTCTAATTTCCCTTATTCATTTTCTGGATCCTTTACTCTATTAGTTTGTATGTGTTCCCAGGTAAACACTAAACATCGCTTCAGTGAAGCGTTGACCTTTTCTTTCCGTAAAGGCGACACCGTTCGCTAGTCTTGATTGTCATTTAGAGGACTATTTTAGCACCTGAAGGAATGATCGCTGTGACTGTCCTGTAGGTAATTACAGCAGCAGTTACTTATTCCACTGAGACAAGAGGAGAAGGACATAAAGAGCTCTGAGTTTGGAGAAAGCTGTGTTGCTTTAATTAACTTTTACCAACCAGCCCCCCTCGATGTGCGCTTCATTTCACGTTTCTAAGAGCCTTGAGCAGGTTGTGCTTGTTCACACATGCACTGTACGGCAAAATGATTGATGCGATTATCAGTAAAATTGATTGTGCACCATTGACCTCACCCACTTTACCAAGATGACCCACAATCCTTTGTTTATCTTTTTTTTCCCTCTGCCCCCACTCTCAATTCTCTTGTGTCAAACAAAAGCTGCCAGTGGTGCTGGAGCTATTAAGCAAATACTCTCATTATAACACAAAACATAATGAATATGTAAATGATGTGTGTAATTTATGCATGGAGCAAGAGACTTCTCCTTTATTCAACTCACCATTGTATTCAGTCTATTTATACCCACTTTTCCCTCAAATTCACACTTTTATGCCAATTTTCCTCGTTTCTTAGACCCCTTCCTGTGAATGAATCCATGGGGGATTCTTTTATTTATTTATTTTACACATTTCTGCTTGCTTTTAACTATGGCTTGTAGTTTATAATACCATCCCTGAGCCTCTTTTTCCCCCTCTGTTTGCCTCTTTTTCAGTTCTTTGCGTACCCTGTTCAAAAACAAACCTAGTCAACGCATTAAACCAAGAAGTATTGAAACTACTTTTTTAAGAATATGAATTTCCATTTGCAGCTGGCGACTATGTTGTATTTTCTTTCTTCCCGGGTGACTGTGTCAATCTTAATGTGTGGTCCAAACGGTGTGGTAAATCGAAGCATGTCCTGATAGACGGAGAGTAGCCTTCTCTTGTCTAGGATAAACACCTATAATACTCCGGCTCCCCTGGCAATCACCATAGCAACAAACCATGGCACTCACGTGAGTTGCATAATAAGATGTTCCCGAAGACCACGGACCATAAAGCAATGACAAACTAGACACCTGCAGCAGCGGATGTGTGCTCGAAAACAACCCTTCAAATGTAAAACTTCACCTCAAGCAAATTCCTCATATTTATCAACAAGCCTGGAGCATAAAACACAACCCTCCCACGTGCACGTGCACCTTTTTCCGTCTCTCCAGACTTTAACAGGTGCTGATGAGCCACAGTCAATGATTGTAATGAGCTATCGATCACCGTGGGAAAACAGGGACAGAGAGGGCTGAGGGAGGCAGGGGAAACGAGAGGACGCACACAAACAGAGTGACTGCCAGACAAAAATAAAAGCTCCACATAAACCAAACTGAGACAAGCTACCCCAGACAGAGTATCAATATTTGCTTCAATCAAGTCTTCATCTCCCATTGTTGTGCCTAAAATGGTTTTTATGGTGGGATTTCTTTTCCCCCATCCGAGTCAACTCGGAGCAGCTTTTTCACCGGCTGATTTAAAGATGACCATGCAGACACGCTTGTCATGACCGAGTCCAGATGCCAATGAATGGCACTGACGCAGTATCTCTATTTTCCTTTCTTTTTGTGTGTGTGTGTSTGTGTGTGTGTGTGTGTGTGTGTGTGTGTGTGTGGTGTGCACAGAGTGGAGGCAGACAGCTTTAGGGAAAGGGGGGAGGTGCGTTGCGTGTGTGTGTGTTGTGTGTGTCGGCTGGCGTTTCAGATAATGAAATGCAGCAGGGAACAAAGAGCTGGGGGCCCCTATTCTCTGTGCTGCAGCTTCATTTTCACTCCCGTCAGTCTATGATTCTTCCATACCCTCTTTCTTGTGTACATGTAAGTGTGTGTGTGTGTGTGTTTATGTTTATAGCTGCTTGTGCGGATGAGTGTCCCCTCCTCTTCCTGTTAGCATTCTGCATGGCAGATTCCACTAATGTAATAACTGTGTCTGCATGTCTAATTTACAGCAGGAGAGAGTAAATAGCCTGTGGTTAATTACAGTACGTGTGTGTGTGTGTGTGTGTGTGTGTGTCTATGTGTGTCTGCATGCGCGTGGGTGTGTCAGGATGATTTATGAGTTGCAAATAGCTACACCAGTGCCCCGTTTCTCCTCACTTAGTTTTTAATCTGTCTTTCCATTAATTTTCCTGGAGATGTTATTATGGTTTTATAACAGGATGCACGTGTGAATGCGCAGTTTGTGTTAATGAGACGGAGGTGAGGACATTTTGTGTGTTTCACGGACACCTGGGACTGCACTTCTACAGTCCCCTTCCTTCCTTTTTCCACCGGTTTTCCTCTCCTCAGGTGCTTCATTCACTCTCTTCATTGAGACTCACAATGAACACAGATCTTTATTGACAGTACACGGTGGAACATGGAAACAGCGGGTCAATCCGTTTAGCCCAAGGGCCAATACACCAATTCACCAATTTGTCAGTGTTAGTTTGAGGGAGAAAAGCAGCTAATCTCTCCTCTCTGCTCTCTATTGATCACACACTTAGACTCCACTTCTCTGTCTAAACACTATTGATTGTCCCTCTCTCTCAATCGCTTTCTCTTCTTCCTCTTCATCTGTATCGCTCTCCTCACATACCAGAGCTCTCATCACATCCCCTCCTCATACTTTCGGACTACTTTCCTCAGAGTAGTCAGATTGGCTCAGAGTACGGGCCCTTGTGTTTTTGAAATCTTGAGTCGCATTTTACATTTTTTGAGCTTATCAACTGTTCTAAGCAGTTTACGTTTTTGGCCCACGCGTGTTACAAATCACTGCCCCCCCCCCCTGCTGTGTACTTTAAAAATCGTGTTTGTGGTCTCATTAAAAAAATCAATTACTTTGCAACCCCTTAAACAGCGGGAATACGGACCCTGATTAAAAATTCACTGCTGGGTACACTGTCTCATGGCTTTGTTTTTCAGTCTCGCATCACAGGGTGCACATGAAAAGGAACAAATTCCTGTCAAGATGAAGGCTATGCAAAAATTAGAGAATGACTATCTAAAGGCAATTGTCCTCATAGCATCTTTACGTCAGTTCAAAAAGACCCAAAGGCCTCTTTTTGATTGGTTTCAGCTCCTGGGGCTGCAGTCATGAAGAATTTCCACTGGTGAGCATAATTTGGTATAGAAGTGCTTATACTTTAAACCAAGGGTGGGCAACATTTAGATTTAAATGGGTTCTGTTGACTTTGTCAAATTAATGTATGAGTTGCACACCGTATTAGAAAAAAAAACAATCTAGGGAGCTTAGGAGACACTTCTCATTTCTCCCTTTTTAGATAAATTTGCACTGTTTGCATATTAACAAAATAAAATATGTTCTTTTAAGTACTTTTTAAGCATATATTGTTTGTAAACTGGCAAATATTAAGATTGTCAAAAGAGACAACTTTTAGTATCGTCTTGTTTCTTGTATTGCATTATTGTTAGATTTCGACAGCTCAAATGCTTAACATAGTGAGACATGAAGCCCATTTTAGTTATTTAGACATTCAATATGTATTTAAATGCTTCAAAATTCATGATGTTTTTATTTTATCTATTGTAAGTTGTTTTATTTGTCTTCTGAAGGCATTTAAGTGCAGAATGTACACCTGTTTTAGCCTCTCTGCACTGGCTCCCTGTGCATTTGAGGAGTCATTTTAAAATTTTAGTTTTAACTTTCAGAGCACTTCATGGTCAGGCCCCCAAATACATNSTGGACCTTCTGAAGCCTCTCTGTCCATCCAGGACTTTGAGGTCTTCTAATCAAAYGCTGCTGGTGGTCCCCCGAACCCATTATAAAACCCGTGGAGACAAAGCTGTTCAGGTGGTGGCCCCGAGGCTCTGGAACGCTCTCCCTCTGTCCCTTCGCTGCTCAGATTCTACTGACTCTTAAGAAACATCTTAAGACATTTTTATTCAGACAGGCTTTTAGTTAAGTGCTTTTTATTGTGTTTTAATTGTTGTTTTTATATCTGTGATCTGTTTTGTTGTTTTTAATTATTTTAAATTAGTTTTTGCTTTCTGTGAAGCACTTTGTGATGTTTGTGTCTGTGAAAGGTGCTATAGAAATAAAGTTTACTTACTTACTTACTTACTTACAGAACGAAGAAGGGCCACTTCTGGCCCTCAGGCCTTATTTTACCTACGTGTGCCTTTGACAAAATGATAAAATACAGGGTAAGCCTTAGACTCACTGCAGGCATTGACATTTCTAAAATTTAATTAAGTCTATATTGGTCTACTTTCTACGCAATTAATGAAATGTAAACATGGAATCCCATCTGTTATTCACGTAAGAAAAAAAATCTAAGAGCTCATTGGCTTTTTGTTAGATTTGTGCGCCCCCTAGTGGTCAGGTCGATGTATTACAGTTATTTAACCCGGGTTATACAACTTCTGTAACACAAGTCAGCTGTTTTGTAACCCGCTGAGAGAAGCAGACTGACAACAGAATGCTCAAAGCCTTAGCATTTTTATTTAACTTATTTTTGTAATTGTACTATTTCCTCACCTTCCTCTTGAACAATGGCTCCTTCGGCGGCTGAGGACAAAACACTGGAGCTGAGACAGATGCTGAGGGAGGTTCTGGTGGGTCGGGAGGATCCAGAGGGTTTCTTTGCCATGTGTTTGTCCGTCCTGGGCCACCAGGAGACCCGCGCACAGTTTCAGTCCATCATCAAGCCTCTGTCCACGGCCAACATCCGCCTGCACTCCGTCCTCACCTCCATCTACCACCAATATTTCTCCAAGGTCAGTGTGCATTTCAGCTCAACTTTTCTGTGGCTAAAAGATAAGTTGAAGCAAAGAGACTACAGTCAAAAATGTATATTGAATAATAATTAATTAACAAATAAATAATACTAAACTAGGCAAATATATTGAAAATATTAGGAGAAAAACAAACATAAAGTTAACTTAGAGAGCTAAAGCTAACATTAGCTAGCTAACAAATATTTGTACACATTGTTTCTATTTTTCACAAACACCTTTGGACTATTTTATTCTTTTTCTCTATATGCTTGATGAAACTTAAACAAACAAAAAAGTTACACGGCTTTTTTGTTTTTATTAAAATAGGCAAATATGCTAACATTGAACTTTAAATACACAAACTTAGCTAAACCTGCTAATTAAACCAGCTCAACAAACTCACCTGGTCTTCAACAGCATTCCTCTTGAGCAGAGTGGTACGAAAACACACAAAACACCAGTGGCAAACAAGAGCACGAAAACAAGCTAAACTTTAAAAACTCCTGATGCATCATCATCATCATCATCATCAACATCTGCTTAATTACGTCATTAACTCATCAACCAATAAGGTGACAAAAGAGTTTTTAAAACAAACAATAAATCATTGATATATATTAGACTTACTTATTAGTAATACTTATATATATATCAATGCAATAAACAGAAGCTACCACTATGGACCCACACGTGCAAAACAAAAGACAAAACTGGGTCTTTTCACAACTAAGACCATAAAACAAGCTTCACAAAACAAATGTGCATTTTTGCAACAAAACATATTGTAAAAGACAAATAAAGCAACATAAACCTAAAACCGAATAAAGGTTTTAAATATAAAGCCGTGCTTTATTTGTTTTGGTTGTAAAAAGCCTTTGTTTTTTCCTCATCTTTACAGTTATGTTGTACATTTTTCTTTCGAAACAATATTTTAGTCATCATTTTAAAGCCACTGCGTTGGGAACATCCAGACCTTGTCCACATTAGACATGCAAATGCTCAAAACGTAATTTCTGTGAACAGCAAAACCTTTTAACTCATCAAAGCATGAAAAGCACAGGTGTCATTAATAATTAACCTGAATGGTGTAAAAGTTTATTTTTCCAACAGTCTTTGTGAACCTTGACAGGACTTCCCCAGGTGGACTGGGGTTCTGTAATTTCTTCTGTGAAATGTGAAAATGTCTGATGCCAAATAATATTCAACGTAGCGGTTTTGACAATATGTATTTTTCTGTGAAAGTAAAAACAATCTGTTGTGGAAAAATTGTGTTGTTTTGGTATTAGAATTTTTTTGTATAATAAACCATTGGAATGAAGCTCATTTGTGCAAATCAAACCTTTAAAAACTAAATACAAAGATGATATTTTAACCATGCTAATAAATCATTTCCTTTTCTTTTTTTTAATTTAATTTTCTTTAAGACTGAGGATGAGGAACTACAGCTTGCTTTGACTCTATCTCTTCTGGAAATGGAAGATAACCAGATGTTGCCCACAAACCAAGACTCACAACTCCTGCAGTCTGAAATCAGTGTCAGTCCAAGTAGCTTTGTTCAACTTAAATCAACGTCACAGGGACAAAACACCTCCTCAGCACCAACTGGATCCTGGAACAAGGACCAAGACACCGAGCCTCAAAAAAGTTCACATAGCGTTAACCCGACTCATGGAACAGATCAGGAACCATCCTCTTCCTTTTCCAAGCCAGATACAGTGAATAAAAGGGACCAAATGACGGAGGAAGGTTTAAATAAACCCGACAAACCAAAACGCTCGAAGAATAGGCGGCAGCGGCGAAAAGGAACTGGCCAACAGCTCGTGGGTTTGTCCAGCTCTCTGTTAGCAACTCCACCAGTCGTGCTGTGGTTCAGGAGGGATTTGAGACTGTGCGATAACCCTGCTCTCATCGGATCGCTGGAGCTGGGGGCACCTGTCATCCCCGTCTTTATTTGGAGTCCTGAAGAGGAGGAAGGACCAGGGGTCACTGTGGCTATGGGCGGAGCTTGTAAGTTGTTTATAAAGTCGGTCAAAATAGCTACATTTGATCAAAATGCTAGTTTCAAACACGTCTAATAACATTTGCTTTTATTTAACAGGTAAATATTGGCTTCATCAAGCCTTATCTTGTTTATGTGCATCCCTGAAGCGCATTGGCAGTCATCTCATCTTCCTCAAAGCCAGTGGAGAGGCCAATAAAGTCAGATCCTCTCTGCACACACTGGAGCAGCTTGTGAAGGAGACTGGGGCAAGAACTGTATTGGCTAATGCCGTGTATGAACCCTGGCTGAAGGAGCGAGACGCTGCGGTGGTGTCAGCACTACAAGAAGGAGGAGTTGAATGCAAGATGTTCCACTCTTACTGTCTCAGAGACCCCTATTCAGTCAGCACCGAAGGTGTAGGACTCAGAGGTGAGTCATAAAATTCACTTAAAGTAAATATAAAATATGGCAGTTATCATGAGCTTTATGTTTTTTTTCCTCTGGTGTAGGAATAGGTTCAGTATCTCACTTCATGAGCTGTTGTAGACAGAACTCGGGGTCCCCTATGGGGGCTCCTCTTGACGCCCCAGCGACTCTTCCCACACCGGCTCGCTGGCCTCAGGGAGTTCCTTTGGAATCACTCGACCTGGCACGCATGCCCCGCAGAAAAGATGGCACAATAGTGAGTAAAAACAGTGCAGCTTTCCCCCTGGAGCCAAGCAACAAACTGGAACACGAAATTAGCATTTCCACAGAAACGGCAGTTTGAACGCTGAGAGCTGAGTGACTTATGCTACAAAAATTAGGAAGATGACAGAACAAATATTACAATTGGCAAAACAAAAGCAAAAACTAGCGTAACAGCAGCAAACAGGTGACTAAAAGCAAAAACGAGCAAAACAGATTGAAGCCAAAAATATCAAAACAGCTAAAAGTTAAGACTAGCAGAACAGTTAAGCTAAAAGTTAAGTGAGTATGCAGAAAACTTCAAAGATTTTTTATAGATTTGAGATGTCAACGCATATCTGTGAAAAAAATTGCAAAAAAATGTAAATATTTTAAAGTTACAAAATCCAAATCGTAGCCAAAAAGTCCCAAATAAGCTAAACCTTTGATTCCTGAATGACTGAAACAGCTAAAAGTATGCTGAAGAACTAAAAAACATACAGAAACAGCCAAAAACAGGAAAACCTTATTCTGTTTTGTTCTCATTTTTGTCCTCAGGTTGACTGGGCAGCTAACATTCGACAGGCCTGGGACTTCAGTGAAGCTGGAGCACATGCCCGACTTGATGCCTTTCTTCACAATGGTAAGACGCCTCACGTTTCTTAATGAGCTGTATTTGTTGATGAGCAGCGCCGAACATCAGCGCTCTGTTATTTCCATGTTTCCAGGTGTGTACAGGTATGAAAAAGAGTCCGGCAGGGCGGATGCTCCCAACACCAGCTCTCTGTCTCCCTACCTTCACTTTGGTCAGCTCAGTCCACGCTGGCTTCTGTGGGACGCCAAAGGAGCGCGCTGTCGGTCTCCGAAGTTCCAGCGAAAACTGGCGTGGCGAGATCTGGCCTATTGGCAGTTAACTCTGTTTCCTGACCTCCCCTGGGAACCTCTCAGACCACCATACAAGGTTAAAACGAACTGCAATGACTAAAACACATTAAAACAGGAAGCGTGTGTTGTAACAACCGTATCATCCTGAAGTTTTAATCATCTACTCCTGACTGCAGGCTCTGCGGTGGAGTACTGACTGCAGCCACCTCAAGGCGTGGCAGCGCGGTAAAACAGGCTACCCTCTGGTCGACGCAGCCATGAGGCAGCTGTGGCAAACAGGCTGGATGAACAATTACATGAGGCACGTCGTGGCATCTTTTCTCATTGCGTATCTCTACCTGCCTTGGCAAGAGGGCTATCGCTGGTTTCAGGTACGTTTTCATGCAGACACAAGTACACACTTAAAGGGAACCCTGATTAGTTGTAACATTAGACTTTATTTAATAAACATAAATTTTAACTGTAAAATAAAGACTGTAAAAATACTGTAGGATGTTCAGTTTTTATAATTTTTAAACTAAAAGTTTAAAAATATCTTACACGGACAGAGCCATTTTATTTACACGCAAAGCATTCTGGGTAAATGATGACATGGATAGGTCCTCGGTGCGAGGCTGCTAGCGAGCTATATCCACCCTGAAGGTTAATCTTGGACAATATCTGATGATCGACTCTTTTAAATGAAACCAGAGAGCGTTGACAGAGAGGAGAAGGTAGAAATGACTCAGCCTGTAACTGAAAATATGGATGGAGGACAACAGAGCTGCTTCATGGAAGAAGAACCTCAGCTTAGCCTGTTAGCTTTAGCATTAGCCCCGACGCTATCACCATACATATGTATTAGCTCAGTGCTACACATTCTCCTGTCATCACTGAGGTCCTCCATCCACATGACAGAGAGGGGAACACAAAAATGACTCAGCCTGCAACTGAAAATAAGGATGGAGGACCTCAGTTTAGCTCGTTTGTCGCGCTAGCGCCAAGCTAATACATATAAGGCAATATATTGTCGGCGCTGGCGCGAAGGCTAACAGGCTAAGCTGATGTTCTTCTTCCATGAAGCAGCTCTGTTGTCCTCCATCCATATTTTCAGTTACAGGCGTCATTTCTACCTTCTCCTCTCTGTCAACGCTCTCTGGTTTCATTTAAAAGAGTCAATCATCAGATATTGTCCAAGATTAACCTTCAGGGTGGATGTAGCTCGCTCACACCAAGGACCTATCCACGTCAGTTACCATCATCATCATTCATGCTTTGTGTGTAAATAAAATGGCTCCGTCCGTGTTAAAATATATTTTTAAAATTTACAAAACTGAACATCCTACAGTATTTTTACAGTCTTTATTTTACAGTTAAAATATATGTTTATTTAATAAAGTCTAATGTTACAACTAATCAGGGATCCCGTGCGTGTTTTTAGGACACACTGGTGGATGCAGACGTTGCCATAGATGCTATGATGTGGCAGAACGGAGGGATGAGTGGCCTCGATCACTGGAACTTTGTCATGCACCCCGTCGACGCAGCGATGACCTGTGACCCCTACGGCAGCTACGTTAGAAAATGGTGCCCAGAGCTCGCAGATCTGCCAGATGAGCTTATCCACAAACCTTGGAAATGCCCTGCATCTATGCTACGGCGCGCAGGTGAGGCAGGAGGTCAGCGTAAAACTTTGTGTCCAGCTGCTCGTTTTAAAGTAATAGTCTGAAATGTAGGTTTTAAACGTATAAAAAGCTTTCGGCACTTTTGCTTGTTTAGGTGTGGCGTTGGGCCGGACATACCCTGAGAGAATTATCACAGACCTGGAGGAGCGGAGGAGTAGATCACTGCAGGACGTGGCTTCGGTGCGCAGAGAGTTTGGACAATACGTGGACAAGCGCTCGGGCTGCGACTTGCTTCCTCTGCCCCCACGCCTGGTCTCCGAGGCTCTGGGCTCGTCCCACGAGGAGGCGGCTGTGGTGGGAGAAGGGAGGCGGTTCCTGCTGCCTCTGATCACGCGCATGGAATTCAAATATCAGCTAGAAAAGCCGGACGCAGACGCGGCGTCAAACCCCTTCAACGCCGTTCTGAAAGGGTACGTGAGCCGAAAGAGGGACGAGACCGTCGCCTTTCTCAACGAGAGAGACTTTAAAGCCAGTGCTATGTGTGAGGGAGTCCAGCGGCGGGAGAGGCTGGAGAGGGATCATCGCAGAATGGAGGGGCTTCCTTCGACTCCCTCACCCGGCGCCAGGGCAAGACGGACTCCGACAGCCAAGGACAGGTTCTCTGTGGTACCCAGTGGATCCATCACTTCTGTAAACTGAGAAATGAAGCTAAAATGCACGATGGTTACAAAAATCTTCTTTAGTATGGCCTTGTTTGGTTCAGTCACAAGCGGACATGCCTCTTTACATAAGTTCAATCGCACAATCAGCAGGAAGAGAGACAAATCTACAATTGTTAATGGAAAATTCTGAATACCTTCAACAGGACACTGAATCAATGGAAAGAAAACCCAACTGGAAACCACTTGTGACTACGACACCAAAGATTCAAACTTAAAGCAGCCTAAGATTAAAAGGTGAGCTAAGATCTACAGCAAACCAAAGATATGGCCCAGGGAGGATTTATGTAAAAGAAACAAACAAAAAAAAAAAAAGTTAACTTTATAAAATGGTTGGAGATTATTCCATGCAGTTTATTTTAAAGATGCTCTCAGGGATTGTTTTATACTAGCATATGTGGGGGAAAATGAGAGTAATTTAGGCACTTTTCTTGGTTTTGGTTCAGCTGGGTCGCACAAAGCTACATAATTCAGCTGAAATTGAACACTTCTGTAAACTGTCAAATGTTACTGTACCGAATGGATTTAAAGACTTGAACTTGGGTGTTTATAAAAGGGTAAAAAGCTTCCAATACTCTGTCTTCCTCTGGTTCCAGTTGTGTTGTATTCTGTTGTTAAACGTTTTTCTGTTTTCTAACTTCATGTTACTACCTCTGTGAGCCTGTGGAGCCGTACAGATCTTGTGATCTAAACAAACACTGCCTACATTTTTAACGCAGCATCCAAATATTAAAAATAATTAATTCCAAAGAAACCAGAGTGTGTAAAGAAATGTTTTATTTTCTGTTACATGGGTCCCATTCCACAGTGTCAACCAGCACAATTAATAATATCAGTGAGACCAAAAGTGCTTTTTAATTCTAAACAGTGTACGAGAACATGATTCCATTTTTTAAACATGACTGAAATGTTATGAACCCATTCTACAGACTGTGTAGTTTTCAACTTCTGGTTTGAGAATTGAAGCTGCAAAAACTGACGGTGTGTTTAGTCAGTGTAGTAGACTTACAAGTTTCCTTAAAGTCAATCATTTAGGTAGGTAAAGAATTTCTAAAGTTCACAACTCTACAACATGAGCAGATCAGCAGCCTGGAGTTGAAAAGATGCTAAACAATAGGATGTAACTGAGAGGCACGTGTAGTGCACGTCTCTGTCAGCGGTGTTACAAACAGAGAGGAGGCGTAGCACTGACTACAGATGCAGAGTTAGTCCTCCATAGAGCGGATGTATTTTTCATACACGGCTTCATCCATCAGTGTGTCGAGCTCAGCAGGATTACCAATAGTCATCTTCATCAGCCAACCTATAAAATACAGGATTAGTTAGGATTCAAATATTAAAATACATGCCATACATAAATAATGCATTTTTTTCATCACAATAATAAAGCAAATCAAAGAGCTTAAAGGGTGAAGACAGATTTGGATGTTTCCTTACACCGAGCCTTAAAACCTTTAAAAAGTTCATAAATCTTTACTGTACATTTATACTTTTTGTTCTGGTAATGTTTCTTTTCATTCCAGTTTTGCTGATTTGTTTTTTTAAACAATCATTCAGACATTTTCTGCTAAAACTTTTTTTTAGCTTCTTTCAACTTTTTTCTGCCAATTTCAGGTGTTTTTAAGCTACTTTTTGGCTCTTTCCGTTCCTTTATGCTAATTGTAGATACTTTTTTGAAAACCTATTATTAGGCTAGTTTCAGCATTTTTAGCTGTTCAGCAAAAAAAAAAAAAAATTTCAGCATTAGACATTCACACTGCATTTTCACCGGAAATGCAAATTCTCTACTTATGAAATCTTTCAGGCATTGTTTTCCAACAAAACACTATATTTTACTGCCCCCCACCACACACACACACACACACACACACACACACACACACACACACA